CAACCAAATCGTGCCGACTTGGAATTGAATTTGGGAATTAATGCCACATTCACCGCCTCTTTAAAGAAAGACGGATACACACGGAAGACCCTACATTCTGGCCATGCCAGTGCGGAGGCCTTCCATAACGACGGTCACTGTGACCGCCTCCGGAAGGGGATCTGCTGCCATCCAAGTACGCATCTCTCGGGCAAAGTCCAACAATTCCTTGTTGCCCTGTCGGGCGACAAGGTAACGCGATCGTACGCGATATGCCTGATTAGGCGGCGAGAACACTTGTGAGAGCTGCAATTTCAGCTCCGCCCAGGAGGGAAACGCAGCTTCGACCGAAGTACGCAAATGATGCAGACATCTTCTGCTTCAGGTGCTATAGTAGTGCGTTTTCGTAATTTTGAAATCGCCTCTAGACGCGGACCGGTTGCCTTGGGGCCTTGCGTCGCAAGGTGTTGCGCACCCTCAGGGCAAAGCAAAGATTTCAGCTTTTTGAGCCCGTCTTGCATGCCCTGGGGCAAAGAGGAAAATAATTCCATCCTCACCGAGGATCAGTCGTAACAACTCAGGTGTAGATTGACTACAAGTGCTACCATGTGCAGCGGGGCTGCCGTAACTTTGTGCTTAGAGGAAGCGTAAGCTAGGTCACCGCCGTTTCGTTCTATACTTAGAACAAGTACGAGCTAAGCGGATTGCATACGCTTACTCCAAGAGAAAACTGACTATATTTATTTTTTTCTGCGGCAAAGCCGCCTAGTTTTAAATGCATATATTTTCCTAAATATGTATTGTAAAATCTAAAAACATGTATAAATACTGGCTATCCAGCCCCGTACCGTATTCTTGTTTGGGTATGGTCAAACCATGCCCATCTGGTGTGACACAGCTCCTCATTGCCGGAGTATGTGTAACCCCGTTACAGGCTACGCGCCATTCTACGTGACAAGGCTTGTACAATCTCGTTCTTGCTGACGCCGCCAAACCATCTGTCCGTAAAGAAATCGATGACTTTCTGTCAGACAGACTGAGACTCTTATGACACGTTCGGCTGAAGCCAAGGCATGCAAAAAGAATATGCGGACGGAAAAAGTAGAAAAATATTGAATACTTTGAGGTCGGAGTCCTGGTTTTATAAAGTGCAAAAAACTTCCTATACATGCAATCTTTGCTTAATGTAAGACAAAGCTCCGTCCGCGGTTTATCGGACCTTTTTAGAGCATGACCAAGCGGGGCCTTGCGTATACGCTAAACCTTCCATAACGGAAGCGCACCCACCCGGTGTTTTATGTGGGATTGTTCAAGCCGTATCAAGATCAGGCGCAAGTAAATGCAGAAGCGTTGGCGCTGGAGCGACTGGTTTTGAGCACGAAGTGCAACGATCTCCATCTCCAACGGCGCAAGTCTCTCCACCGTCGCACGAAGTGACGCACTCGTCTGCTCGACGGCTAGGCAAACTGGCAGAGCGCGATAGTCATCAACGTGAGGCAGTCGGTGCACAAAGTGCTCCAAGCTTTTGAGGTCTTCCGCACAGCGGAAGGCGATCTCAGTATGATGCTCAGCGTAGTCCGATGGCGACGGATCTTGCCCCCAAAAGCTCGAAGAGCATCGCGAGTACCCGCCCGCCGCCGACTCTTCTCGACGAGAACGGTGGTGTCCACTATCGCTTGGAACGCCTTGTGGATCGACGTCGACGCCAGGGCCAGACCCAGTATCTTGTGAAGTGCCCGACTTCGATAACTCGTGGAAGTTTGAGGTGCCACTTCGGCAAGACTGCCCAGACGTCGTGAGCGCTTATGATCAGACGGACTATGACGTTCTGCGTCGTCGTACACCCCGCTATTCTCGGCAATAGCCAGAAAAGCCGAAGAGCCATGAGCTGAGCTCAAACTATGCCCCTGAGCTGCTGTGGTCGCAGACTCACCCGTGTGACAGACCATAGAGCACCGGGAGCGGGATGGATTAATACATTCGTTGCAAGGCGACAATACGAAGGAAGTCGACGACGCGCTTTGAGTTTGACAAACTCGAACCGACGATGGCGTTCCACGCGCACGTCCACCTACTTGTGGCTCCGCTGTAAGCTAGACAGCGAAGAATGGTTCCGGTGCCGCTGAGCTCATCGCTCAAAGAAAACTTCGACATCTGCAGCGGTTTCGCCAGGGGCGACCACCGCAGGAATCGTCCGCGTTGCGGGTACAGTAGCGCTTTTTCTTTGAGTGCGAAGTCGAGCGCGGTACATATCCAGCGGGATTTCTTGCAGAATCAAGAAGCGAGCTCGCAGAGCATTTTGCTCGTCAAGTTCAGCTTGTGTAGTGGCCTGGGGCCCAACCACGTTGACGTTCAACGATTGAGTGATCGCTTCCTTCGCTTCTGTAGCGGGATCCGCCGAGCGGAAGTTGTATGCCACACGAGGGTCTAAGACCAATAATTGATGCGCGCTCATAGCCGCCGTGCGGGCAGCATCCAACTGCTGATCCGTGCCTCGTCGAGGTCATTGGTAGTGATACCACTTCCCCCGGAAGTCGAGGGGTCGGGAGACAGACACGGTGTCCGCAAGTTCCGAGCAGGCTCACGTCATGCCGCTAGCGCACCTCGCCCTCCTCTTTTTCCAATCATATCGGACTCGTAGTCGACTTCCTCCAAATCCTCGGCGAGGTAATCCGTCGCCCGTGGCGGGTGCGGTGCGCTTTTGCCGAGGGCCTGGGATGCGCTTCACTTGAAGTCGCGGACGTGCAGGAGACGAAGAAGGGCTCTGCCCGCTGAGTTTTTCGGAACTAGCGAGGCTGGGTGTCGTTCGTGTCCTAGACACAGGGCTTATGCTTATTAAGCAGAGAATGCGTGCAGAAGGTCCTGGGGTCTTAGACACGCGAGCCTCATACAAGGCGACAGTTAAATGTGAATTGTGGGTTGTCACAATTTTGATGGGGGAGAGTGTAACGGGGTTACATGTACCCTGGTATGAAGGGGCGGGTCACACAAGATGGTGTGACCATCCATACAGGGGTGTGAGTTACACAAGACGATGTAATTACACAATGGTGTGGCCACATCTTAACAAGAAGTAAGTAAATGGCTGGACTGCCAGTAGTTATTCATTTTATTAAAGTTTACTATTTAATTAGGAAAACCTATATACGATCCAACGCAGACAATTATGTGACAACAAACTAAAATTCGTGGAACGTAGCAAACAACACAAGTCAATACGACTTGGTTGGCCAATGTGGGATTCGAAC